CCTCCACTAGCACTTGAACCGGTGAGTAATATCCATAGCACTGAGATTTAGAAAAACATAATATACCACATACTGGAGTTCCAGTATGTAGAAACAGGAGAAGCATCATCATCTCTATACAGAGTTTATTGTTCTTGCACTGGCTGCCTAATGAAGACATGGGATAGAGCAGAGTCGCCAAGAAAAGAAGCCACCAAAAGACACAAAGCCTGAAACAATTAATGGTATAGCCGGCTATACCTGTTTTGACACATATTCGACCAGGTGCTAGGCGGGTCCCTTTTTAGTATAGCCGCGCGGCTTTACTATGTTAAATTTTTTTTTAATAAAAAATAGTATAGCCACTTGGCTATACCTTTTTTGGACATATTTTTAACACGTGGGTGCCTAATCGCTAGACGGCCGCCTAGATGCTAGGCAGGTCCCTTTTTTTTCTATAAATATTCTATTTGTTGTTTAATTTAATTGTTTAATTTAATTATTAGAATAATATTGATTGATGTTACTCAAACAAGTTTCACTCGACAGAAAAAGTTAGATCAAAGGCAAACATACCCACAAAAAAAGAAGAAGAAAAATTTGAACTCTCAAATTGATTTACTATGAAATTTCTCTCTCTTCAATATCTGCACTGGATATGTTGAAAGTAGCCAATTAATATTAATAAAGTATAAACTAATGCAACTAAGAGAGTACTTATTATTGTTATTTTTAAATAAAAGGTATATAATATATTTAAAATACGTATGTATATGTACAATATGAGTATTAAAAGTGAAAATGCTAAATTCTTTATACGGGTAATAACTCTAGAAAAGTAAAAACACAAAAGGGGACAATAAGGACTCGGGTAATGGCCTAATAGTAATGGATAATGCTCTAAACTATCAATAAACAAAAATCAGGGAAAAACAATTTTTTTTAAAAAGATCACAGTATCTGTGTAAAGAGTATAGCCGGCTATACTCTTTATAAAAATAAAAATAAAATAAAAAGAGGACGGCCTAGCACACGTGTCAAAAACAGTATAGCCGTGCAACTATACTCTTTAAGTATATTATATTTAGGGTTAACTGGTGATTTGCCCCCTGAACTTGTACCTAGGTTTCAATTTGCCCCTTATTCTTTTATTTTAGAAAATTAAGGACCTGAATTAATTTTTTTGCCAATTTGCCCCCGGAAGTCAAAATCTGCCATTTCCCATCCATCCTGCCGTTAAGTTGGAGGTTACTTTTGAAATTTCACATCTCCACCAAAACACCAACTTGACGGCAGAATGGACAAGAAGTGGTAAATTTTGACGTAGGGGGGCAAATTGGTGATAAAAATTAGCTGGGGTCCTTAATTTTCTGAAAAAAATGATAGGGGGTAAAAGGAAACTTAGGTACAAGTTTGGAGGGCAAATCACTAGTTAAGTCTTACATTTAAAAGGAGTATATCTGCGCAGCTATTCTATTTTTTATAATAAAAAAACGGTAGTATATACTTTATAGATATTATATATATACTTTATAGATTTAATTTTTTTAATATATTATTTTTATTCAATAATATGCGAAAATTGTATGTATAATACATAAAATTTATGTGTATTAAAGAAAATTTTGTACAAAACCAAGTGTATTAAATCTGAAAAAATACATACATACGTGTACAATACGAGCATTAAAAAATGAAAATGCTAAATTCTTTATTTGGGGTAATAACTCTGAAAAAGTAAAAACTCAAAAAGGGACAACAAAGACTACGGTAATAGCCTAATTGTAATGGAAATGCTCTAAACTATCGGTAAACAAAAATGTTTAAAAACAATTTAAAAGCAGCATAGCCACACGGCTATACTATTTATGAAAAAATAGAAAGGACGGCCTAGACCATTCGTTTTATGTACACATCTTATAGACTCGGTAAAATACATGATTTTTAAAAGCAAACATACAATACTCATATTGTACACGTACATATATATATTTATCATGTTTAATAAACATATTTTTTTACAGAAGTTTCAAGAATACACAAAAAATTCACGTGTTATATACATAATTTTCACATATTATTGAATAAAAATAATATATTTTCAAGAAATAGTAGAGCCGCACGGCTATACCTCTGTTGACAAGTGGGTTCCTTTTTTTTTTAACTAAATAGTATGGCCGTACGACTATACTCTCGGGTATTTTTCAAAATAATAACCGCCCGTCTGTACTACGTTTATTTTTTTTTAAAATAATAGTATTGTCGTGCGGCTATGCTTGTTTTGACATGTGGTCACCTAATCGCTAGGCAGGTCGCCTGGTTTTCTATAAATAGTATACTTGGGTTTTTCCTGAATGCATTGGACCAAAACTCTCGAATATGATTCGATCTGAAGATGGTGGAGGTTTCTCTCAGTAGCCAGACGACAGCCAAGAAGGGCTGCTTCAGCCTCAGCATTGGCAGCAGACGAGGCAATGTTAAGATACTAAGGGCGGAAACCAGATTCCGATAACCTTTTTGTAAAAATGGGCTAGAATCATATATATGAGTTTAGAAGCTGGATTTCAACTGAGGACCTAATCACTCTTTGGACCTCCTGATTGCCAGAATTTTAAGGGTATAATTTTTCCCCCAGTAACACAGTTAGATACAAAGCAAGATGAAACCAAGACAGGGCACACAGATACAAAGCAATATCTCACAGCAATCCAATAATTATAAGCGTTTCAAGTTGTATAACACAAAACATACAATAGTGCAGAGAACAATACATAAAGTAGAAAATCAATTAATCTGCAACAGAAAATACATCCTCTTCTTAAATTAGAAAACTAAGGCATCCAAATCCTCGATTTGGCTTCCTAAGGAAGACACTGGTTAGAGCAGAGTCACAAACAAAAGAAGCCACCAGAAGACGGAGTGCCTGCAGTAAGAAACAAGATTGATCAACATATGAAAGAGATTTATAAACTGTCACAAATAGATCAACCACTTTCAACACATGCTAGCTACTTGGGCTTTAACCATGTTGAATAACAACCGCGGTCAAGCATCAACACTTTATTGAATATTCATCATAAACCAACTGCCTAAAATTTCAAACAAAATAGAAACTCACAGCTAAGGATTCAACCAGAGTAGTTTAAGGTAAATTACAAATGATAAACATAAATGATATATAACTCACCTCCTTGTTGCCCACTTGAGCAACTTGTACCTCAATGTCAGTGACAGGTACGTTCAATTCGCATAAAATTGACAGGCCAAGAATTGCAGAGATCGGACTAACATTGAGACTGTCAGTTATCATGAACATCGCCGGTCCTTTCAAAAATCCAAGAGCGTTATCATCTTTGTTACGGTGGGATTTGGGGTCTATGAAT